CTGAAATACCATTCTCCATCTTAAATCCTCACTAAATGGTCAGGGCATTCTGGATTTTCGATTCACGAGTTGAATTTTACATTTAAAGCTCAGGCTGACGCACACGAGGCAAAGAATACATAATGAAACACGTGATATATCTTTTAGTCTAAATTTGTAAATGTGTAAATGTCTTTTTTCGGTGGACAACGTTAATGACATTGACTGTATATTAAATACATCACGCTGGCCGCAATAAACTACTTCGACGATACGGCGGCCATCTTGGATCGCGAGGCATTACGAGGCGTCCAGGGGGCAAATAAAACTTTGTCACAATAATGACGTCGATTGATCTTTGTTTTTGTTTTAGACCCTGAAAATGTTGCCGCTGTACCGAGTAAGTAGTCCATTAAGTGTAAATATTTGAGAAACATACCTCCCCAGGCGTTGCCAAAGTTTCTGTTCAAATCTACTCCAATACAAAAGCTATTTTTCTGTTGACGTCGGTTCTTGCGCCAAAGTCGATCATTCTTTACGAGACAAAATAGAGATATAAATTATATTAATGGAAGCTTATGAAATACATAAACGTTTGGAAGGCCACAGGTTTGTTAGCCACTGGTTGTTAAGTGCTATCCTTGTAAACCAAGGACGGTTTTTATCTGAAGTATAAATATGGAGCGCGCGGTGGGAGAGTTGTGCGCATTTCTTGCAAGTTTTACTTACTGTCCATGTGTATTCGTAGCCGTCCACATTGATGACAGGAAGAACTATTATATCCATTTTATCGAGAAAAGCAGTCACCATTGAGTCTTTAATATAACTAGATGTCATCTGAAAAATAAATAAAACATCCAACATTATCTATTTAACACGTATATGTAATGCTCTTTTCGCAAGGTGAAATCGCTCAGCCCCTTTCAGATTGACCACGAGCATCATACTTTGTTGTCCAGCGGTAACATTTGCAACATATTTCAATTGTCAAAAGAGAGCCAATTCAAAGCTTATTTGCAACAGGTCGAAATTTTTATCATAGATTCATAGACATTTAGTATTAGTTTTACCGCTATGCCACTAGGGATCAGGCCCAGAAACACGCAAGCAAACACGTAGAAATCCTCAGCATGAATTAAATTCAATATGGCGGCTTTTCCGGCAACGACTTCGTTATGACTCCTTGCTAAATGTCGAAAATTTGATGCAAAACGCCTGGCGTCGAACTGCAGTTTGAGGTTTGCGGTACCAAGCAAGAACGTTTTGCTAAAGGTCTCTATTAACTAGTACATTACCTTATCAATGATATACATGCAGGTTGCTGGGGAAATCCATTCACGAGCGTGGATACCACATTGAATGAAAAACAAAGGTTTGTTGACTTGGAATTTCCCTTGGATCTGTAAGAGCAAATGAAATGACACAAATAGAAATAGGCCTTGGTCAATCACATACTGCTACGTCGATAGACCTCGGCTCTTTAGTTTGGATATAATATCAGTAGAATGTTTTCTGTTTCAGATAATTTAAAAGTGCCTATACATAGTAAAATTTATTCGTTTAAACACTTGAGGATGAGAAGACAATGTACTAAGGTCTGAATCTTATTATTTTAGAGAATGCATCGACATATGCAGTCTGAAACTATGTTGCACCCAAATTCTTCATTAATAGAATTATTTCGTCTTGGTGCAATTTTTACCCATTTCAGGCCACTTTTCCTAGAGTATTATTTCTTTGCTTAACGGTTGCACATGAGGAGACACTGCTACATGAATATGTAACTTAAAACTTCAGCTTCAACAATTGATGGGTTGCAAGCATTCCCAAGAGAGTTAAAAGACAAAAACATGACAGCCATTGTGGTACCGTTAACAATGGATGCTAATGAGAAATCTTTTGTTAAATGGTACCAACATGGCTCCGATGACGTAACGTGCCAACGAAGCTAGAATGCAAACATTTTGGAATCTCACACACTGACCTTTACTAATAAACATAAGCATTCCATACACACTCGAGGCATTATTAATGGGTTGGGGGAATATGTGGATTCTGGATATTAAAAATATCAAAGTAGCAATATTKTATTAGGCACTTTTAAAATCGATATATATATTTGTCCATCCTGTAAAATCTTAATGAGTGTAAACTTATAACGATGATTGGAAAAAAATTAGTTGATCCATAAATATCAAACATACCTCCCGCACTCCGAACTCCCATTTGTTTTGGATACATCGTGCATACCTGTATCGCTAGAATATCCCTGTTTTCGTATGATTTTCCTATACTTAAGGCAGTCGTAAACTTGCTGTATCGATCAGCAATGGAGTGTAGTTCATTGTTTATCTAAATAAAACATAAAAGTTTGGTCATTATCATCATCATCATCATCATCATCA